CCGAGTCCATGCGGCGGCCGGACAAACACTTTGACCCTTTCACGGAGAACACGGTGGACGGTATCGTAGCCAACACGCTCTCCGTCAAGGTCGGCCGGTCGGCAGCATCTTCGCCTCCGTTGGGAAGAGCGCCGGCGTCACGTGGTTTTCACGCCGTGCTCTTCAGGTGATCTCGGGCCAATTCCTCACCGAGCGCAGGGTGGGCGTCTACGTGGAAGTGGAGATGTTTGGGCTTCCTGCTGACACCAGGAGGAAAGCTCTGAAGACCAAAACCTCGCCCAACAACAATGCCGTCAACCCGGTGTGGGATGAGGAACCCGTCGTCTTCAAGAAGGTGGGAAACCGGTCGCAGCGCTCTCAAACCTGCGATGCACTGAACCACTTTAGATTTTTTATTTTTTTTACATCTGAAGCAAAATGGCAGACTTCCAGTGTCTTTCTGCCATGGCTTCTCAAGGCTTTTTGTGGGACTTCTCAAGGTTGATCAGCCTACCAAATTGGATATCGCTCAGGCAAAGATGGTTCGGGGGTTGAATTTCCCAAATATTTGTCGGACCGGTTTATTCTAAACCTTGGAAATTTCCCAAAAGGCAGACCGACCTTTTAGGCATGGTTTCTTGAGACTTTTTTCGTGGGGCCGCTAATGATTGGACATGCCGACCAAAGTTCAATATGCAAAGTCAAAGCGACTTGAGCGGAAGGGAAGAATTTCCCCAAATTTCTTGATTTTCTTTTTTTTTTTTTGAACGTGTCTTTTCTACCGTGGATTCTTGAGAATTTTTGTGGGGGGCGGGGTGCACCTATCATTGTTCTAAATATCAACGTTGACTTGGGTCAGAATGATTGAATGAAGCTCAGAATCATCGCGCTTCACGTCCTCCGCCGATCTGCCCGCCAGGTGATCCTTCCTACTCTGGCCTCGTTGAGAATCGCCGCCTTTGAGGAAGGGGGCAAGTTCATCGGCCATCGCATCATCCCCGTGTCTGCCATACGCCCCGGTACCCGCCTTTCTTTGACGTCTACCGTCACGCGACGATGCCAAGGAGATGCTGCCGCTCTGAGTGTGGACCGCGACGTGTATTCTTTCAAGGCTATCGTTATATCGGCCTGAGGAACGAGAAGAACCAGTCTCTGATTCTCCCCGCCGTGTTCGTCTTCATGGAAGTCAAAGACTATGTCCCGGACACTTTTGCAGGTACACGCGAGCCCAAAAAGGGATTGATTTCTTTTTTATTTTGTGTGTGTGTGTGTGTGTGTGTGTACACCTGACTATGAGCCTTCCTTGTCTTAAGTTCACGCTTGACACAATGAACATAAATGATAAAAGTCTTCAGCCTCCGTTTAAAAAAAAATCTGAGCAGAAACCACCAAATATTTATGAATTGGAATGAATCTCTCCTTTTCATCATTCGTGCATACTTCTTGCTAAGCACTCAGCGCGCATCTCCTCCCGGGTTGTCTCTGCCGTTGCCTTGCAGACGTGATCGAGGCTCTGTCCAACCCCATTCGATACGTCAACCTGCTGGAGCAGCGTTCCAAGCAGCTGGCCGCTCTCACGCTGGAGGACGGAGACGTCGACGCGCAGACCGAGGTCAGAAAGGAAGAAAACTCTTTCATTGGTACCGAAGATATCACCACGGGGCCGTGAACAAAGATGATGTCGGGCCCTATTTTTGGGCCGGGCTTTTAAAATATAACTTAATTTCGACAATGATTCCGAGTGACTGTGCCACGTCGGTGTTATTTTTCGGAATGAAATACAAGGCGTTCACCGCTCACATTTATCTGCTCACGTCTCGTGGGAGGGTCGTTCCAGGACGAAGCGGACGGCTGCTCTGAGCGTAAAAACGATCCCAAGTCGCCGTTGATGGAAAACGGACTGAGCCCGGTCCCCGGACCGGCGGGCCACGCTCCCGTCGCCGCGGCACCCAAAGCCTCTGCGGCCAATCAGCAAGCAGCTCCAACAGGTAGTGGCACCACCATCGACTTGGGTGTGCGGACTTTTGTGCTGAAGGGACACATTTGCTTTGGAAAACGGCTACAATGGCAGGCGGTCCATGATGTGTCTCTGGATCAAAGTAAAAGTTTTGCAAGTGCTCTGCCATCGCATGACCTGGACCGATTACTGTCGTGGTGACTTGGTGACTGGATGTTCCTGATGGGTTTCTTGTCTTGTCCTTCCCTTTAGATGCGGCCAAACCAGCAGCAAAGAATGAAGATTTGGTGTTAAGCGTTCTGATAGGTCAGTCCGTAAAACCTCTCTCTGGCGTTCGTATGTGCTTCGCTTATTGAAAGTGAAGCTCGCCAGCCACAAACCATGTTGACAAAACCACAAGGGGCGTCGCCGTTTGCCAGCTATCACTGTGGCGTTTGCTACGCACCCTGGTTTTAAGGTCGGGGTTTTTGCTCCCGCTGGGGAAGAGGGCTGTCTGCGGGCCCCCGCCCCAGACTTTGCCCACCTGCTGTGTGATCGTTCAACTGTGCTGTTGACAGACCTGCCCGTGTGCACGCTGGCCAGCCTGCAGCAGTCCAAACTGTACCAGAAGGAGCAGCGGCGTCAGTTCAAGGAGCTGAAGGAGCTGGTGAGGAGACACCAGAAGAAGACCTCGGAGCTCCTGCGAGACATCAACAACAAGTACAAGAAGGCGGCCAGACGGTGCAGCAAGAGCAGGTGGGAAAGCGCACATTTTGCCCTCGCCAAAT